TCTTTGGTAATATTGTATAACGTTGTTTTACGCATTCCGGTAGGTGGCGCTATGAGTTTCACTCAAATTCACTGCGGGCTTTTAGTGTTTTGACAATTAACCATATAAAACATTATTGTGAATGTAGGTGATTTTGACTATAGCGTATACAAACCGCTCATATTATATTAGCGGTGGATAGTTGACTAATGCGTCAACTATACAGGCAGGCACATCAAAAATTACTTATACTTGTATAATTATGGAAACTGAATATGTGTATTCGTTCATTACTAAACATGATATGGTAGTATATTTACAGAAGGCGAGTATTTATACAAGTGGCTCTATGTTCAAATTCAAGGTTTCAAAAATAACTAATACTGATTATTAAAATACTAAGTGAGCAATTCAATCCAAAGTCAGTGACAGATAAACACATTTTTGTTTGAGGAACAAAATCAAGTTTAAGTTAAGATTGTAACATTAAACATTTGACTTATCTTTTTGTTTGAAGTCTCACTAAGAAAGAACTTGCCGAGCAGTATAATATGTAGATAACATTAGCCTACACTCGAAAATAAAAGAGCTTGAGCTAATGTTATCTTTTTCATAATATATAAATGCTCGTGGGATCGGGGTGGTCCAAATCTAGCTCAGCCGCAACTTCGTATTTTAGTTGCTCATTCATCAAAGTTTACACAGTCCGTCAATTTTTCGCCAAAATAATAAAATGGTGCTCTAGTCGGTAATATATGTACAATGTCGTTATCAATCAACAACAACAACAAGCAACATTTTTTGCTGGTTTAATAATATCCCTTTATAAATCAAGCGTTTCATAATAATCGCAGTAAAATAAATATTTTGCAATCTATTACGCACACAATATTTTTAGGTTAATTTGAACAAAGAAAGCGATGCAAACGTGCTTTATTTAACATCGACCGACTAAGTGGGTATAAAATATGCCAAAATTTTCGGACGATTTTAAAACCAAGACCTAATTTTTTCTAAAATGAGAAAATATTGCAGGTACATTAATAAAATTATTTTTTTCTTTCTTTGGCAATAGATTCAAACGGTTGTACTTGTGACAGTGTTAAGTAATAGGAAATTATATCTCTTATGATAATTTGTTCAAAAACTTTTCACAATATGTTGATGCATTACTCCGAAATATTTGGGAGATTTCGACTACAGATTAATGACGACAGTATCTTATACTAAGCTAAAGACAATATTATATTAGGTTTAGATATAATGAATTCCAATATATAATTAATTTAAAAAATTGTAACTATAAATAGATATTGCCACCGATACAATACTATTTGGAACAAACTAAAACAGAAAAAATATACAAAAACCATAAACTTCTTATAAATGGTATCCCCCTTTAAAGTAAACAGAATGAAGCGTGGTCAATATCTCGTTATTTAAAAACGATATTGTCCTAATTGAGAAGTTAATTTCTCGTTTTAGTTTATAAAATAATACGATGATATTCTTCATTTCTAACTAGCAATAGCTGCTTCGCATGGAAGTGCAAGCAATATGTTGACAAAGTTTTACCCGCAATCTGATAATCAGTATGGCAGCGCAAAAAAAAAACGAACAAGAGTAGATTTGTTTGATTCATGAACTTATGCGAAATCTAATGTAAAATGTCAAATGTCTATAACGTTTGTTGATACTTTTTATGCTTTACAAAAGACGCGCACTCTTCAGTTCACTATTGAAAATTAATTACTGCTTAGAAAAGAAGAATCATTCTGAATGGTGTTTATTTTATTAGGTAATTAACCTTAATGTGTTTACATCAAAAGTATAAAAACGATACCTTAAAAAAGTTTAGATACCGAATTGCTGTACTGCACCGAAAAATGTCCAAAACGCAATATAACACGTCTGTGCGACCGTCTTGGTTTGACGTCTTTCATATATTTTCACACAATACGGCCGGTGTCGCAACGCTGACGTGATGGTCATGTGTTGCACACGTATTTAGTTTACACAAGCCTTAATTATGTAACTTGAAGCATGACTAATAGGAAATAATTAAAATCACATGCTAGAAAAATAATATTTGATACGCTTATATTTTTTTAAATATAGTTATTTACGTGGTAGAGCCACGGTGCAGCTATATTAAAGTTGTAGCATGAATGGGTCGGCTCAACCGGGGCAGGACCATGCTCTCACAGAATAACAGCATAAAGCTGCTGTGTTTCGTATGGTGAAAATAGAGAACCAGAAACCCTTTTTGGTGAAACCGAGGCATTTCATTTGGTCCTCTGGGGATGGATGTGGATGTCTATAGGCCACAGCAATCACTTGCCATCAGGTGGACTGTGTGCTCGTTTGTCACCCAATGCAATAAAAAAGATTAAATGTTGCATTTTTGTACTACTGATATGTATGGTCAATTTATTAACACTTTATTTTATGTGATTATGCGGAAGAAGTCAAATTTGAGTCTCAATATTTGTTAGTTTTTGATAAAATTGTCACTGAATATAACATTTAATTGTATGTTTTAAAAGTGGTTAGCAATACTATAAGTATCTACTATAGCAAAGATAGGGCAGATTACACCATTACATGTTTGATGTTTGATGAACTATTGTAAGTATTTATACATATAAAATATTAAACAAGAATATGTAAACTAATGAAAATAAGCAACACTATTCAATGCTGTCAAAGTAAAAACTTACGTCAAAAAATATGCAAGTCCGCCATTGCCTATCGAAAGTAACTGCCGAAGTTTAAGAATAACCCAACCAGGTTATTCTTTCGTAGGTGACATAATCACAGAGAAATATTTCTGCCATGGTATTAAAGAGCTGCTTCTACTTCTACATAAATATTTAAACTATTTAGAATGTAGTATTTTCTAATTATGTTTATTAGAATCAAGCGTAAACATAAAATCTGTAGTAACTTATCACTGTAGGATATTTAAAATACAACAGCGGAAAAAAAAAATAAAAAAAATTCTCACTGAAATTAATTTCCTACATATTTAGATTTTTATACACATAAGTTCTTAAACGATTGAGTTTTAGAGTATGTTAAAATCTAAAATTGTGTAAGTATATAATCGATCGCATGATCTTATACTGAACGAATAACAGAATTTTTCATTTAAACTACGTGTGCGTAAAACAAGATGCACATTCAGCACTATTTAGGTATATTAATATTATAATGTGTTGTACTGTTTAAATAAACAGTACCCCGTCAACTTAAAACAAACATACATATTGACTCATTTATGACAAAATATTTACGAGCTGATGTATGTTGATATACGCGTGGTACAGTTAAAACACTCGAGCATCGAAACAAAGCTCTTAAATGGAATAAACACCGCCGTCGCAGATCCATATTGCCTATCCATTACTGTCACGAGGCAGCAAAAGCGGATAATCAATTAACAACCAATTTTAGGTAGTGAGAGTGATAATTAATTCCCAAAAATATGAATTTGTATGTTTTTTTTTATGAATTGTAAAAAGAACTGTATTAATTATTCTTCTTTTACAGTGGCTAAGCAAGAGGGGGGGGGAGTACTCTGGTAGGACTAAATCCGAACTACAGATTTTAGGGTGCAGCATTTGGGGAAAAAGAAGTCCCTTTAGATAAGTTTTAACGTTTTAATTTCAGTATTAGAATTTCTTATAATAAAGTGAACCTGCAAGCACACGCTTTCCGAGGATAGGAGGAGTATAAATTAAATTTTATTGATTTATTTTCAAATTCATATAGATATAAAGACGATTTTATATTTTTAAGATATTAGTGAAAATCTTTTTTCTCTCGAGGCCCGCAAAAACCTATTCTACGTCACTAATCTGAAAACTTCTAGTTACAACCTTGGCACTAAAAAGAAACTTGGAGCGAATTGTAATTTACTCGTTATTTTCAATATATTAACAATTTATTTGGTTAGCTACGAATTAATCATGTAACACAAAATGAAGTATTAGGTTAAGACAACAAACAAGAGAACTAATGCTGGATGAGTGCTATGCTAAGTACATAACCTTTATGGCGAAAATAACCAAGGTGTCGTAAAGATATTGGTGGTTTGATTTCACGCTTCCTCTAATTGTTACTTACAATTAATACGAAAATAATAGAATACGCATACTAAGGCAGTGGTATAGCATGTTACTTATGTTTATATAACATTTTTTATTGGAAAAACATAGTTGAACGTAATATAACAGAGTTTGTGAGCAGTACATAGTACACGCAAAGACGGAAGTGTAACGGGAAGTCGTACTTTGCTGCAATAGATGTTAACTATGAGGATCGTATGTTACGCTCCTGTAAATGGAGTCAGTAACTGATGTCGGTTGACTGGCGCTAGTTCGAACACGGAATTCAGTGGTTTGAGATAGAATGTTAATTGTGGCTGACTTCCGTCTTAAAACAAGGTCAATGCAAATGGCGCGTGAGAAATTTCAGAAACAGTACTCGCTTTATTTAGATCAGCACTGACTAGTCCAACAAAGAAATATAGATTGATACCAGGTTTACATTCAGTGACGCCGAAAACACGTTCAATTAATTATGAAGAACTGCTTTTATGCACACATGCATTTGCAACCAATAATATGGATTTAAGTGCATATGTGTGCATGAGTGCGTGTCAAAAAGTTTAGTATAGTGTATAATTTGAATTGTAAGTAAACAATTTACACCCAATAACATGGTTTAAGGTGCATATTTGTGTCTGAGTACGTAGTAAGAAGTTTATACTAAACTTCTTATGATACTAAACTTTTTACAAAATTCTTAATACGCACTCAGACACAGGTTTTTCTTCCTTCGGGACACATGTTTTTCTTCGGTCCTTTGTAACGTATGTATTATTCCGTCTTGTTCTTTGTTGGTATGAGTGAGATCGGCAAATAATTCAATAGGAGATCCAGGTTATCGCTAAGTAACGCCTGTTACTGATACGACACGAACATTTAGTGATGCGGGCGTGAGCCGGGCGGGGCGCACTAGGCGAAGTACATGACCTTCTTGGTGACGGCGTGCACGGTGATGGCGCGCGCCATTGCGCCGGGCGTGCGGTCCTCGCTGCAGGCGGACTGGTGGCTGCCCTCGCCCGAGTCGTGCTCCTTCTCCACCAGGTGGTAGCGCGCGCGGAACGCCACCAGGTGCGCGTAGTACGCCGGCGCGGGGATGGACACCGAGCGCGTGCAGCGCACGTACGTGTGGCACAGCTGGTACGTCAGGCACTGCAGCTCGTCCGACCCGAAGTGGTTGTCGTCCCACAGCACGTGGTAGTGCGACGGCCGCGACGTACCCTGCGCCACGCAACCACCGGTCAGTCACTCGTGACAACACTTCTCGTGTGCGCAATACCCAATGTATATGGCTCGTACTTCACCAAAGTGAAGTACAAGAGGGCGGGGGTACGATGAACATCCTTTCAAGTGACTGGTCCGTTAATTAATTAATCTTCATCAGTCATTAATTACATTGCATTGAACGGAAAATGTACAAGCACAAATGGTATCGCTTAGTGCTCACGTTTCGAGTCGCTATTTATACAAAGTTGTTTCTCTCGGTTGATTTTCAGAAATCAGCAGAGGCGATTATAAGGCCAGGTTTTATTGATGTTGTAGTTGAATACCAACTTATTAACTCTGCTATTTCGTATAGAAAACCGGAGACCCTTTTTACTAGCCACAACATCCACTCACCATCAGCTGTACTTTACGCTCGTTTGTCACTCTTATTTTTAATAAAACATGACACATAAATAGTCACGAATTTGAACCGGTTCGTCAATTCGCCGAAATCAGCCAACACACCAAATTGTTATATTTTTATTACATTGTTGTTGTTATACGATGTTTCTTAGATAGACAATCTTCCTTTCTAATTATCTTTAAATTTTGCATGGCCTATACAAATTATATTCACGGAATTTCAATGAATTACTCAGATTCGGGCAAGGCATTTATTTATTCAAGTTGACGAACTCGGCCAAACACCTTTAACGTGCTATAGATTTACCGCCACCGTCACCAATCGCTGGGCGAACTAAACGACGCACATGTGAACTACTCCTCTATAGTCTATACACATATATGTTGAGTTTCGTTGGGTGCCAATTTGCTAATATAATATTTCTGACGCCCTGTTTATCTCATTTAGGAGTCTGAGAAGAAATTTGGGATATTTTTAAATACCAAAAATACCAGCGTTTTGCATCTTACTAACTAAAGAACGAGGCTCTGACTACTCAACACAAATGTAACAGACCGGTAAAGGACGTAGCATTAGGCCCAGTGTGGTAATTGGGTATTTCTTTCACGTAATGTTCCCTTGATAGCACTTTCTTAAAAAAGCCTATATCCAGCAGAGTAAAATAAGGTTAACGATGATAGGTTCAATATATCTCACCATACCTGTATACCCTGGTGGCTGCAAAGATAGAAGTCAAACTCTGTGGGGTGCGTGATGCCGAGGTCTACAGTAGTGCCGGCTGGGATATTGCCTGACTTCCCTGACTGCTCTTTCTTATCCGCGCAAAACAGGCGCGTATGGTGACGCTTCTGAACCACGATGAACGTTATACCCGGCTTGTACTCTGCTTCCAACTAAAATATTAAAAATAACAGATTCAATAAGGAATTTGATTTGGAAATGCTAATAAAAGTTTGTGACCTTGTAGAGGTTATCTTCTAAATGAATATTTTATCATCTTCAGTCGCGATAGTCCACTGCTAAGCTAGTGTACATAGCTCTATAAAAAGCGCGAGTTAGTTCAATTTTCAGCTTCGCATATACATGTGCTTCTAGTACCCTCCACAAATACCACACTCCTAACAAAGAGGCGTCTTACATTAATTTGAACTAAACATTGTCGCCTCCTTTAATTCTAATGTCTACGACCAGATCAACAACGGGCAGCAGCGTCCGATACACAAGGAATATTAAACTAGATCCACTATCGCCTCAAATTGTCTGTCAGCTACGCAATAATTGAGTTTTCTTTATGAATTGTAAATGTTGAGGACATTTTTACTTAATCTACGAATTAGCTTAGCACCGTGCCGAGATGAGACTTAGGCTCAAAATAGGAATAGGAATACAATATACCTAGGTGGATTGAAAAGTACTCGGCCTAACACAGATCCATTCAATTCTAAAAATCAAATCTACCCACATTATTTAGTTCAGTTCAGACTAGTTCATTGTGTGAAGTTCGAAACGTGTGCGATAATTAGTTGTGATTTTATAAATTTATTAACAAAGTAATCGGACGGTCATTAAGTACCTCCATAAGAAGGGGCTATCATCAAAAGCCATCCATGATGACATGGTCAGTATATTAGGCGATTGTGCTCTGTCATATTCATCCGTCAAAAAATGGATAGCAGAATTTAAGCGTGGTAGAGAGAGTGTGAAAGATGAACCCCGCTCTGGAAGGCCTTCGACGTCAACTACTGACGAAAATATTAAAAAAGTACTTGATTTAATAATGGGAGACCGCAGATTAAAAATTAGAGAGATAGCCGAGATTATAGGCATCTCTTATGAACGAACTCAAAACATCATTGGCAACAAGTTGGGTTTTCACAAGGTGGCTGCGAGGTGGGTTCCGCGACTGCTTTCAGTTGAACAAAAAAGGACGCGATTGACTATTTCACGCGACTGTTTGGAGTTATTTGAAGCCGATGCAAATGATTTTTTGAATCGTTTTGTTACTATGGACGAAACATGGGTTCATTACTGTACACCGGAAACAAAACAACAATCAAAACAGTGGAGAAGACCTGGTTCACCACCCCCTAAAAAGGCTAAGTCGATTTTTTCGGCAAATAAGGTGATGGCTTCAGTATTCTGGGACTCGAAAGGTGTGATTATGATTGATTATCTTGAAAGGGGTCAGACTATAAACTCTGATTACTACTGCACCTTACTACGGTTTACGAGAGGAAATAAAAGAAAAACGTCGAGGAATGCTCAGAAGAAAAGTCATGTTTCATCAAGATAACGCCCGTGTTCACACGTCAGTACAGTCAATGGCTGAAATTCACAACTGTGGCTTTGAACTGTTACCGCATCCGCCGTATTCACCTGATCTGGCACCATCAGACTTCTTTCTGTTCCCTAACCTAAAAAAGCACTTGGGAGGTCAAAGATTTTCGACAAACGACGAGGTCAAAGCAGCTGTAGACGCATATTTTGACTCTAAGGAAGAATCATTTTTTTTCAACGGTCTAAATGCTTGGAAGGGGAGGTGGCAAAAGTGTATTGAACTTGATGGTGATTATGTAGAAAAATAAAAATATAACTGATTTAGTATGTGTTTATTTTCTTGGTTAGGCCGAGTACTTTTCAATCCACCCTCGTACAACTGTGTGTAACATATTATTATATATTAACTACAATCATATAGTGGTCTTTAGAACGCTTTGAAAATAAGCTACGAGCGCGTACTACGCTACGAGTGCGTCTGAACACGGTTGAAGTTCTAGGCAACTGTTTTCACCATAGAATACTATAATACATAGATAATAGGACGGGGGAGTGGGCGTAGCCCGCGTAGCCACTAAAATGCCAATAATAAGTCAATTCAGACGTATAATGGCTCCGAGTTCCCGGCGCCCCTTTAATGTAAGGCAGGGGTGCGAAGAATCTCCGGGAGGAAAACCGGCGACGAGGTTCGCCAGCCGTCACGTTCTGTCTCCCGGAGGGGCGAAAAGTGGATTGCGGAGGATTTGGTTTTATGCCGAATTAATGGTCTATTCAGGCGTTGGCGCCATCGGTCATCTGTGTTTACCACTGCGTTACAGCGTATTAGAACTGAAAGGTTACAAGAGGAAGGTGAGAAAAACAAGTTCAAATGTAGATTGAAAGAAAATATAAGTGGTTTGAATGAATTATGTACGAGTATAAATGAGTTAGACTTGGAGAATGTATGGCAAAATGTTAAGAAAGGTTTAGTGAATGCAGCTACCGAAGTATGTGGTGTTAGTAAGAGAAAGAATAGAAGGAAAAATAATACGTTATGGTGCGACGATGAGATACGTATGGAAGTTGAAGCAAAGAAGAGAGCATGGCTAGATTTACTAGCAACAAAGTCAGGTAATTCTAGCGGTACGAATGATGATATTGAAAGAAAAAAGGCAGCCTTTAGACAACTAAATAAGAAAGTGAAAGAAGTAGGTGAAAGGAAAAAGAAAGAAAGAACGTAATGATTTCTTATATTTACGCGAACATTGCACATGATTAAAACTACTTTTACGGATTTTATCGCGTTTATTTTTACTTTTTATTTTTAATTCCCGACGTTTCGGGCGCTTTCCAGCACCCATGGTCACGGGGGACTGAGATGACTGACGTCCCGATGTCATTGTTAAACCCGGAGTACCTTCAGCTTTTTTAATTATTGTTTATGGTCCGATCTATGCAAAATGAACTGACTATGTCCTGAGGTCTTGCAGTGGTATGCTTGGGTTTAGTTTTAATTTTATTGATTATAGGATCCCAAGCAGGTGGTAGTACCCAGCCTCCTTCTCTATTGAAATTAGGATGTTTTTTTAATTTCAATAGCCTCACGTACTTCCGGGAAGTCTGCAGTTTGTGATCATATCCTAGACGGCCCCAACCATTACATCAGATTTGATAGACCACAAATCCTCGCGAAAGAACACCGATTCCTACCAAGGATGATACGGGAGGCTATTGAAATTAAAAAACATCCTAATTTCAATAGAGAAGGAGGCTGGGTACTACCACCTGCTTGGGATCCTATAATCAATAAAATTAAAACTAAACCCAAGCATACCACTGCAAGACCTCAGGACATAGTCAGTTCATTTTGCATAGATCGGACCATAAACAATAATTAAAAAAGCTGAAGGTACTCCGGGTTTAACAATGACATCGGGACGTCAGTCATCTCAGTCCCCCGTGACCATGGGTGCTGGAAAGCGCCCGAAACGTCGGGAATTAAAAATAAAAAGTAAAAATAAACGCGATAAAATCCGTAAAAGTAGTTTTAATCAAAGAAAGAACGGATAAGAATGATAGAAGAATATCGGATAACTTCCAGGCAAATATTAAAATGTTCTGGAAACTCGTAAGAACTGCCAGGGGACATTCAAAACAGCCTATAATGAATGCTATAAGAGATGAGAATGGCTATATTCTGAATGATGAAGTTTTGAGTTTAAAGAGATGGAAGGAATATTTTGAAAGCGTTTTTATGAGTGAGGAAACAACGTATAAAATAAATGAAGTAGAAACTCCGAAAGAAAAGAAAAGAGGTAGCGAGATAAGTATAGATGAAATAATGAAAGCAATGAAAAGCATGAAAGCAGGTAAGGCTGCCGGATATGATAGAGTTTCACTCGAAATGCTAAAGGCTGGAGAGGAAGTGGTGGCAGGCCTGCTGCACACCTTGTTTAATTTATGCTGGGAACTGAAGCGGGTACCGGTAGACTGGTGCAAAGCCGTGATAGTCCCAGTATATAAAGGAAAAGGGTCGCAGCAGGACTGTAAAAACTACCGTGGTATCAGCCTTGTTAGCATTGTGGGTAAACTGTATGCTAAGGTACTGATTGAAAGGGTCGTGAAAGAAACTGATGAAAAAATTTGGTATGTGCAAGCGGGATTTAGAAAGGGAATGGGATGTACAGATCAAGTCTTTTCCATGCGCATGATCGCGGAAAAGTTTTTGGCCAAAAACCAAAAGGTTTTTTGTGCGTTCATGGACTTAGAAAAGGCCTATGACAGAGTGGATAGGGATGTGCTATGGCAAACACTGAATTCATTTGGGTTGAACGCTGGCTTGATACAGGCATTGGAGTCGCTTTATAGGGACTCTAGTGCTTGTGTTAGGATCAACGGGGTCTACTCGGACTGGTTTGGCATCCATAAAGGTGTCAGACAGGGCTGTGTGGCTTCCCCGTGGCTGTTCAACCTATTTATGGACAGTTGTTTGCAAAATTTTAAAGTTGAAGAATGCGGATTAAGAATGGGTGAGTTAACCGTCAAATGCCTTTTGTACGCCGATGATCAAGTTATTCTTGCGTCATCGGCGGCCGAGCTGCAGATGATGGTTACGTTAATGAACAGATCATTAAAAGAAAGGGGTATGAAAGTGAACGCAAGTAAGACGAAAGTTATGGTTTTTGAAAAAGAAGAAAGTAAGAGGATATGTGAAATAAGAATAGAAGGGGAGTTGATCGAGCAAGTAGATGAGTTTGTATATCTCGGTTGCGTATTTAGCAGGGATGGGAGATGTGATAAGGATATAGAACGACGAGTGAATTCGGGAAATAGAGTAAATGGGGCCCTGCACTCTGTTGTGAAGAGTCAAAATGTGTCGAAAAAGGCGCGTATGGCAATTCACAATGCTGTGTTGGTCCCTACTTTAACGTATGGTAGTGAAAGTTGGGTATGGCAGAAGAAGCACGAGTAGAATGAACGCAGTAGAAATGCGGTCGTTAAGGAGTATGTTAGGGCTGAATCTGAATGACAGGGTAAGAAATTGTGTAATAAGAGAAGAGTGTGGTTTGCAAGATGATGTTGTAACCAGGATTAAGAAAATAATGCTTCGGTGGTTTGGTCATGTGGAAAGAATGAATGAGGAAAGAGTGACAAAGAAAATTTATGTTGCAGAAGTTAATGGCAGAGTCGGAAAGGGACGTCCTAGGCGAAAATTTACCGACCAAATTGGCGATTTATTGAAAACGGGCCAAATTAGGAGTACCCTTAACCGACGAGCATGTATGCGTAGGTGTATGGATGTGAAGGAGGCGAGAGAGGTGCGTCAGGATCATGCCAAATGGAAGTCTGTAGTCTCTGCCTACCCCTCTAGGTGACAGGCGTGAGTGTTTATGTATGTAACCAGACGTATAAATGCAACACGAGATGTGTTTTGCCATTGCAAATTATTTAGAAAATGCCAAATTGCACATTATTTACAAATAAATATGTACCTATTAAAATTTAAACGATTTTAATTTTGGTCTTGAACATTAATCAAAAGTCTAAAATGTTTAAATTTATTCCGTCTGTCAACACAGCGAATCGGGTTTCGCGACGCCAAACCTTGTACAAAGTAAAGTTGACAGCCATTCTATAGTGTATTATAGTATTCTATGGTTTACATGCTCGTGAGCCGTTTACATCAAGCGACCGGGCATTCCTAGAACACTCCATAGATTTTCCCCAAATATGGACAGAACAAAGAAAGAATGCTCTATCTCTGTTTACATCAGCAGTAGCTCGTTTTGTTTAAATTAACATTAATAGCAGCGCAAGTGCACCAGCGCTCGCGCCTCGACGAGCTCGACTAGGAAACAGTGAGCGCAGCTGCATTTGATATGAAGACCGACTTGACCGTTGCCGCTACCGCAGGCTTAGCTCAATAATGCATGTTTTATTAATTTATTTAAACTTTATATATATATATATATATATATATATATATATATATATATATATATATATATATATATATATATTGATGTACAGTGCCTGAGGCATTCTCTACCACCAGTCAATTTTTAATTGATACAGAGATAAAAATATGAAGTAGGTGTGTGAAATATTAAAGGATAGAAAAAAGTATACATTGAAGTATATAAATATACCCATACATAAGCTAGCATATTAAAAATTTTGTTTTTAACAGTTTGTGACTGAATAACCTGGAGATTGGACATGAACTTACCTTAATGCAGGCCTCTCGTACCGCGGTAAGCTCGTGTTGCAGCACGTGTATGAACTGTCCTTCGGAGATACCGTCGCGGTACATAATGATGCGGTGCGGCTTGAACCCACCCGTGCTCTTGTAGAACATGATGAGCAATTCCTGCACCATGCTGCTCATCTCATGGACTATCTCCTGTCTGTCAATGCAGCAGTTGTAAAGGGACATTATCATAAAAATTACTCACTCAACAAGTACAAATGGAAACAGCGACTATATTTTTTATTATGAAGGACACCCCATATTTTTACCGATATTATTAATTATGGATAATTGAAACATTAACATAAAATAACATTTTTTATAAATAAATTAGTGTTTTTGTCAGGAATACAATTCTGAATTTTTTAAACACACAGATTTTTCTGTTTGGATTACATTTGTTAAATAATTTTTAATAACAAATATTATAATATAATTGATAGAATCAGGCGTTACTTAACGGAAATCCATTATAATAAAAAAATTAATTTGCAACCTTCCGCTAACTAAATACAATGATGTGTCTTACCTGGATTGAAGAACACCTCCCGCCCTCCCTCAATTGCATGCACTAACTCCGTCACCACTAGCCCCAGCACCATTACTCCCAACACCACTACTCCCGCCACCACTATTTCAGGTAAGGCACACCATCGACCATAATACGACACGTGTTACGCCTCTACACGAGGCATCCTCAGATGATGTAGACTCTACGGCGGATGACCGCTAAGACTGAAGCCGCTGAAGGGACTAGTGGTGACGGAGTTAGTGCATGCAATTGAGAGAGGACGGGAGGTGCTCTTCAATCCAGGTAAGACACATTATTGTATTTAGTTAGCGGAAGGTTGCAAATTAAGTAATATTTTTATTAAATATTATAATTAAAACATTAATGAACTGTGAACATCGCATCCTATCACTTTTCCTTAGACCCGGAGGGGTTCTGTGTATTTTCACATCGTCACGCTGTGCAACAAAACTGTGATTTCATATCCGAAGCAAATGTTGCGCATGGTTTTGAATAACACTGCAGGCTTCACGATCTGATCTAAAGTAGGATTGGAGGGAATAGAGATTGTAACTTCATGGGCAAAAAGAAATTAATTAATTTGTCGTCGTTGTAAGACTTTTATATGGAAAGGAAATATGTATACGGTACATGATACTTGGGCGTCTTACCATTAGCAAGAATTATATATACGTATAAATGCATTAACTAAGGATGTAGGTAACAAAAATTATGAGAATAAACATTTTAAGATTCACGTTATCAATTCCACAAGCGTCAGAAGAGTAATATCTCGCCAGCAACGCAAAATCAACGCATTTAGAAAAAGCCAAAATTGGTTGGTGCCAAGTTTAAAATTTGGGTCCTTAAAAATTTTCAACGCAACGAACTGTTGAAATTTGCGTTGCTGGCAAAACGTAACGCAGTGACGATAATAGATATACGGTAAATATTAATAGCAAAGAAATTAATTGCTAACTAAGTAATTAATTGCTAATTAAAAGTGTTTTCGAAAACTTTAATATCTATAGTTCGTGCCAAATCGATTGAGAAAAACGGATATTGACCTTTCAGTCATTTAACCAGGGGCTACAAACCTTCAATATATAGGCACTTTTTATATGTAGTACTTTCTTTATTTATAATAATTTTTTAATTTTTTATAATGATTGATATAATATATATTTATTAACTGTAATTAAAAAGTTATGTAAAAGATCGCTGTAAAAAGAAAAACCATCTATTGTTATAAAGTACTTTATTCATTTAACAACAAAACACATTAATTTATAACACATATCGTTGCTGTGGAATGATAACCTCGTATGTCCAGAGATCTAAACTTTACAGGAAACGAAAAAAAATAGTTCATTTGGTCAATGTTTAAAATATTGTTATTAGCTTTTGTGTCATGTATTGAATGACAAAAAGGACTTTTTTATATTATTAACCAATCCCTTAATAACCTGCGTTATACCAGCTAAATTGACATAAGAGGTTTTCAATTTTTATATGTGCAAAGTTGCGAGGTTTTCAAAATTAAAGACACTGCTCCAGACAACAGAAGTCCGTTTTCATCCACATACCCAGAGTAAACAACAAACGACCTATGAGAAGGCAAAAACAAATTTAATTATAAATGCGGCAAGCTATCATAGAATGGATGTAAATCTCGAAGAATCACATGTTTTAAGTCCTGAAGATGATTGAGATGGTTGTATTTTACCATAGTTATAGGTAACTTTGAATAATACAACTGTTGAAAACAACCACCAGCATTTGTTTGATGTATTTTCCTTGGTAGTAATTGGTATTCTTCCGAATAACTTAGCTTGAACTTTATGGATCCTTCTGGTTCATATTTAAGGCAACGTATGTCAGTGACTTGTGGGTCACCAACCTTATTACCTGGTCTTATTGTTGAAAAATACGGTTGAGAGCTGTATTTCTTAAAGGCTAAGTGGTCTAACTGGACGACATTGTAGGTATCAGGATTGTTACGGACAGTTTTTTTTCTTCTTCCCAGGTATCCCTCACCTTTCATTCGTTTGTTGTTTTGTTGCTCATACATCCATTGAGATTTATCACTTCGTCCTCGTTTAGCTCTTTTTCATTGTTGATTAGATATTTCCCTCAAAATTTCAGGACTGTCATTTATCTGAAAATTTGGATCTTGCACAGAGTCATCGCTGCTGAAATTGGTATTCAGCCTATAAAACCTGCAAATTATATTTTATAAATTATCATTTCCGGCTTTCTCATTATTGTTTATAGCAGAAGTAGACGGTGCCTATGGTGGAATTTTGGATAGTGTGATTCATCAATTGGAATCATGGAATCATTTTCAGGATTGAAATTTATTGTAGACAGAGGATTTTCCAGTGTCTGTTCTGGAGACATCATTGCAGACCATTCTGCAAGTTTATCAATATTTAGATCTGACTGTAATAAAGACGGAGATTCTTCTAAGTCAGCAGGGGTGATTAAGTCTTCTGGTGACAAATGGTTTCTTTATACATGCTGCCACTAATTTCCTTCCCCTATTTAACATTTTGCCTGAAAAAAAATTAAAATTACTAACTTATATTTTAAAGAAAAGCTGCAAAACCAGTAACAATCATGGTATGAAAACCTCATAATACTGTAGTCTTTGCCTCGTATGTTGTTTGAATTTATAACTATATGAGGTTTTCACGTGAACCTTTTAACAAACAAATCAAATCAATACTAACCTAATATTTGCAGCCGTTATTTGAAATAAACTAAGATAGATACCACTTTATTTTCACTATTGGCAGTGAATAGTTTGATTAATTAAAGCCGTTAAAATATTATGTGAAAACCTGGTATGTCACTTGAGTTTGCTTTACCTGGGACATACGAGGTTTTCCTTGCAATGAGCACGTCAAATAAACGAACGCATATTTATTGCTAAACTACAACTCCTTAGTTATAAAAATACAACCAGAGTGTACTTAGAAATATAAAAAATACAAATAAACTTACTTCAGACCGATTTATCCACAATTTCTCAAAAATAGAGAGTAATGCCCACACCATACACTTTTTACGAGGTTTTCTCACTTGTGAAGATAAGATTGCCAACAAGTAATAAATAAGAGGTTTTCGTTTAACTCCATATATGGCACTAATAGTTACATATCGGGTTTACGATTTTGCTGTATTATAATATACGTGGTTTTCATTCGATTTTTACAAAAATAAAAATATACTTTTTTGACATACAAGGTATTCATTCTACAGCGACGATATAAAGATTCGAGTGATAATTTAACTTTATTTTCAATATTATATAAGAACTTTATTTTTATTCGGTGCATGCGGGCCGGCCCAAAAAAAGTGCAGCATCTCTGGCTGCCATTGTCACGTTTCTTTTAGAACGAGCTGACGTAACGCGCGTTTTGTTTATTTTAAAGGGATGAATTTGCAAAAGCTCAATATGGTGATTATATTGCTTCAAATATTTTTTTAATATGAAACTGTTATTAAATGAATTACTGCGTTACTTACCAGAAATTGAAATATAAAATATAACACATTTTTCGCGATTTACCGTAAGATTTTACGATGTTTATGGGAACCACAGACAAAATTATTTAAGAAACAAAAAAACAAAACATAAGTGCTGACCTAGAAGTGTGAATAATATTAATATTTAAATATTGTTATCACACCTATTACGCCTTTTGACACTCGGCTCATATTTGAGGTCATCGTAGGTTTTTCTCAATCGATTTGGCACGAACTATAGTATGGTGAATTACTGTTATAGTTAGTTAGTTAAGTTATACGAGTAACTAAGTAAATTGAATTCAAATGACGGCCGTGCTTATGTTTCCCTCATTTTTTGTTGATAAAATTGTTTATCCGAATGCGAATACATTACATAATTAAGTTTAATAATCGAAAGCTTAAAACATCTATAAAAAATGTCACGAGAATATTTGGCAGTGCAACACTTGTAAATGTGTTTATTATTTGTAGTAATAAAAATGATCTTGTTCAATAAACGTTTTTAACTTATAAATATGTACATAATGTTAATAAATGATAATGAATATTATAGTAATCAAAATAATTTTATTTCCATTTTCGTGACAACGTAGCACACACGCTGCCGCGTAAATACTAAAGCGAGCGGCGGCATAGCCGGACATCAAAGGCGTTTCACAACTGTAAGGTTTATAACTGTGGTTATAATTTGCTTTTTCTTCTCAAGTCAGATGAATCTTATTTTGAAACGATACTAGTAGAGTAAAAAATGATGGTTAACAAAGAAATTCTTATTTCTAACGTAAAAAAATAATGATCACTTAATTTCAAGAAAGTTAAATTCAGTTTATAATATTACCTATGCAAGAAGAGGAAAAACAAATGCTAATTAAACAAATGTGAATTATATGGAACGAATTTGAATTTTATTAAGTATATAAAATCGAACTTCCGACATAATTTTCAAGTTTTTAGGGATCTTAATAATTTTAAAACGCGACAGATCTTCATTTTGATTAAATATATTGGTGTAAAAATGTTGTAGTCAATCTAGTAGCTACATTGTTACATGGAGGAATCATGTTTTCATTCGAAAAAACGCAATGAAAATTACTAGTGAGTGTAAAGTTTGGTTTAGCACATTTTATGTAAGCGACGAATATTACATTCGATTCATTAACTCTACCTAAGTACTCAAGTGAAATTTTATGTTAACAAAATCGCAGAACTAGGGCTACATGGTCATCTAACTTTGTATGCTGACGATACATGTCTATTTTATTTCGGATCTAATATACATGATATTATCTTGCAAGCGCAAGAAGATCTAGAACTATTGTTTGAGTGGTTTCGATATAACTTGCTAACGGTAAACACTTCTAAAACGTGATACGTAATTTTTAAAGCAAAGATCAAAACTATACCATTTCATGACCCACTGATAATTGATAACATCCCCTTGGAACAAAAAGACCTGAGAAAAATACCTAGGCTTGAGAATGGACAATTACTTAACATGGAATAAGCAAATAAATCACATTAAAAATAAACTTTCGGCGCTTACTGGATCACTTCACAATATTTCCTATTGTCTACCTAAAAAATGCGTTACAGTATTTGTAACTCAGTCAAATCACATTTACTTTATCTCATAAAAATTCGAAGCAATGCTGCTAAAACTAAGTTACAGGAACTTCAAAGAATATAAAATAAAATCATAAAAATACTCTTTCACTATTCCTATCTAACATCAACTTTTAAAATTTTCAAAGAAACAAAACTTATGAACGTTCAACAACTACATGTGTATAATACTTCCATTATAGTTAGGAAATTACTTGATAAAACCATCCATACTATCTTGTCTATTGTAAAAAAATCATAAATTTGTAAACGCAGTCTTCGTCGACCTAGCTTACTTGTACGACCAAAGGTACGAACAAACTACGCAAACAAAAAGCATTACCTTTGAAGGAGCACAGATTTATAATAAATTGCCTAGTAATATAAAAAAATGTAAGCTCATTTAGTATTTTGAAGTCTCAGCTGTCACACTATATAATTCAACATTTTTCACCATTATATTGAGGCTATGAAGCTACTGACTGAATGTTCGGCGACCATTAGAATAAGTATACTAAAATGTAATTATTATTTTCATATAAGTGGCAGTGTTTGTCTTTTTTGAAAATAAATTTCTTTAATCGTCGGTATTTCTGAGAGTACGTTCATCTCCCGTTCGAGACGATCAATTTATGTTGAAACTATAATACAGCCGTAGCCGGTCTCTACCACGTACACGTAAATACATACATTACTATTGAATGTCAGTGCTACAATACAATGTTATCAAATGAAAACTTATTCAAGTATTCTTATTCAAGTCGGTTTTGTTTTTGTAAAATTAACACTTTACTAGAAAAAAAGCTGGACAATTTTATGGCCTCGAAAATTCACGTTATGCAATTTTAATGACATCACTTGTAGAAATAAATAAATTATTTAACTTGCAGCCAAAGTTGTCGAGCTGTGTCGAGTATAAGCAAGGTGAGTTAGATACCTATGCTGCTGCACGCGTACGGTGGCGGCGTAGCGCGAAGGGTGCGCGTCCATGGAGCCCACCACGGCCGCGATCGACGGCTTCTTGTTGTCGCCCGCGGGCGGGTGCGTCACGTCCACACCCAGGAAAATCACCGGCTCATTGAACACCTAAAAACCCACACAATGTATCAACAATACACGCCTCCGACAACACGTAAATAATTCTGCTATGCAGACTCCTCAAACATCCTTTAAAAAAGATCGAAGTTCTTATGTTATGCAATTATGAGTTGGACTGATTTTTATCAAAATAAATAAATCGATTTTCGTAATATCACCAATAATTAAAGTATGAATATATTTTTTATGACAACAACACTTAAAACGATATTATAAATTATATATATATATATATATATATATATATATTTTATATATATAATATTAGATTATATATTCATACATAGATATCTCATTATTCTTAGAGTTAAAGACAGGAATACAAGTCACAAAAATGCAAAAAACGTGGTAAAGGAAATTAAAAACTTTAAGGAAAATGTTTTTTTTTTAACTATAATAAGCCAGGGCTTGACTACTATCCCAATTGAAGGTAACACAAGTCTATTCACTCTTGTCTTGAAGATGCTCATATTGTAATTGGATGGAAAGACGATGACGGTAGCTCAGTTTGTCGATTAATGGTACGTCGACGACTGGGTGGAGACCAGCCGAGTGTCCGATGGTCCGATGATACGTATATAGTCGCCACTTTTCCTCTTTGACACTGTTGTTACCACCATTCATGAGTACTATAGATAATTTTTTCCTGATGAAAACCTTAAGTGAAAACCTTAGTGTAAAGATTAACTTTATCGACAAATAAGGCTTTGATTATGACCCGATAAAATATAGTATATAACTTTAATATTATTTTAAATTAATTATTATTTATAAATGAAATATAGCATATCTTCATAGCGGTTAGTATCATGCTAATACATTTAATAAACCTTATAAAAGCTATGCTCATAAAAATTGAAGAAAGGGCGGGCAAATCACGTTTGCGAAACTTGGTGCAAGTTCAAATATACCATAAAAATATCTAACGAAAATTCTACTCGCTGTATTTGGAGGCGTTCTTCGTCAATTTATTTCTAACCTTGTTATGTGTTTGATAAATTATGTGCAAAATAAAACCAAGTACCTATACAGTTTCATTATTTATAGTATTATATTTTATTAATCTATGAACTCATTATAGCTTATCAAAAGTCCATTTATGAGCATAGGCTTCCCCCGTTGCGGATTGGCAAAACGTTTTTTAATCTACTAAGCTTTTCAATGAACATGTTGCTGCCATCTCATATTTTAGTTCTTTTTCGTCGCCTCTCATTACACCCAAGGGACTTTGTTGATGCTATTCTTTTGTTCATGTATTGTATGTAAATATCTTTTTCTTTCGCTCAAGTAAACCCAAACGGCTTTTATCAAAGCCACCGAAGGTATGCAATTGCTGATATGTCATACAATCTATCTAGCACTAGTATCTTTTCTCTGTGCTTTGTTAAACACGTCCCCGACAGCACTGAATATGAAACTGAATAGTGGAAACAGATCAAGATTGATGTATTTTTATAAAACTGCTATAAACAAAAAAAAAACATATCTTGGGCTTGCCCTAGTTTCGCCACTGCCAAGGGATGACATGGGGTAGTGAATTCTCTTAAGCCGCCACTACTTATATATCATTGTGTGACTGCCTATTTGATCTAAGAGGCTGCTCATCATATTGTCCTGCTAAAAATCAGTTACTAAGTTTTTCTATCAAGAAATTCTCAGTAGCAATCGGGAGTCAAGAAGTTGGCACTGTAATGAATTTAAGAACACAAAAATTTCCAGTACCGTAAAATCTAGGACCAATTTTCTTACAAAAAAGGTATTCTCAGACGGGGCATCAATATTAAATGTGGTAATTATGTTCTTCATAGATTTGGTATTTATTAGTGATTTAAAAAAAACTAACATTAATAAGACAAAATACTCAAAAATAGAAAATGGCAAAGATTAGCTTACTTTGTGGCAACTTTGCTATCAGGGTTTTTTGAAAATAATAGGAATTTACCACATTATTTTTTCACAATTATACACAACACTCTTTACCTAAATTTTTTATTTTAATCTTGTCACAATATTTTTTTAGGCAAGTCTAAAATATAATGTGACCGTGGAATGAAAAGGGGAGATAGATCTCTTGCCGGGCAAGGTGTTCTACCTTCTAAGGTGTGAGAGCGGCCAACCCTTTATGTGTTATTTCATAGCTGTTCTTATATAAGCGCGGTAGCTTCAAAACTTTGATAGCGCGATTTGGGCTTCGGTGCGTTTCACTTGTTGGCGCGACGACAGCCACAATAACGAAAAAATACTTTCTTCTAAAATTACAAATCAATTTGTTGCAATTATTGGGCAACATAATCATTTTCCACCCAAATATTGTTTTACCACAATAGCAAAACATTATTAGTCATTAAAAATGAGGCTGTCCTTTGGGTGCAAATTAATATCAATATACTAAGGTGAAAATATCAAAAATACTGAGTAGTATTATAAATACCCGACAACGCAGTAAAAATATATTAGTATTATAATATTAAGCAAGTGGTCAAAGAGAAAAGCGTACACAGAGGGTGGTAAGACGACCGCATTACCACAAATCGCCGTATGATCCCTCTCGTAAAGAGTATGCGGTTGTTGTATCAGGAAAAAAATATGGCTTTAGGGACTGGTTACGTTTAGTTTCGCTAGTTATTTGGGTGGCCTTCAAATAAATAAAATAGAGCACACGCTAACATTTCTTTAGTCAGATATAAATCGGGATAAAAAAAACCTAGCAGCGATCGAGCAGCGTCCACCTTTAGCGAGAAATAAACGGCTGGATTGTGGTTTATTTGGTTTGATTGCATAGCATGCTTTGCGAGTAGATACGAGAATACTAAAGGTATAGACGATCAGGCTCCTTGAACACCTGATAGAGATGGCAGATAAATCCCATCAGATAAATCCGTATGCGTAGCTAGTTTTTCTCGGGGACTTTAATGCCCACCACAAGGGGACTTTAATGCCCACCACAAGGAGTGGTTGCTCCCATACGAGAAAACCGACCATACTGGGAAAGAGGAACGCAAAATTTCTCATTCAGCTGGTTCATGTAGCGATGCGAATACCAGATGTAGCCGGACATAAGTGCAATTGCCTCCGATCACTGTCTGGTGAAAACCGTATCGATCATCTCTCCTCCGGATGGCTGTTCAGCGGACACGTGGAGCGTATGGGGATACGAGTCAGCAGACTAGGATGAGATGCGGTAATTTTTTGCATCATATCCGCGGCGGCAAGTGTGCTTTTCTTTGGGTGAACCCTCATGCCCTACGGACGCGGTTGCGGAGGTGATACGGCTGGGAGTGGAATATTTTATTCCGTTCTCCGACATCCCGCTCGGTGACAAGGCGCGGGCCTCGTATATATAATGCAGGCTATGATCGTTTTGATGCCCGAAAAGAGTCCACATACCAGGCTTTGGTTCTAGCTCGCCTCGTCTAGATGCTGGCTTTAAACAGTCGCCAACCCTGCTCAGTGTGATTCTTCGATGCCAAAAATCACTATCCATATGAAAGAGGTACGTAGAGCTGTGCAAAACCTAAACAAGAGTACTTAAGCATTGTGAGATTGAATTGTCTCCTGTTCTGACGCGCCTGTCTGTACTGCGTCTCTCTTAAAACTCGAACGGGGCCAAAACTTTGGAAGTTTGCCTATGTGCAACCAGTACCCAAGAAGGGTAGTTCTGCCGATCCCTTTAATTATCGACTAATTGCCATCACCTCCATACTCTGTAAAGTTATGAGGAGGGTACTAATACATTACAATTATATATATTACTAATACAATAGGGTAGGAATAGTAAGCTGCTGACATATCTTGAAAGAAATGACCTCCTCAGTGACAACAAAAATGGCTTCCACCGGGGACGGTCCGCTGGGGATCTTCTTGTGTATGTCACCCATTTTTGGGGCGAGGCAAAAACGGTGAAACTTTCGCAGTTACACTCGATATCTCGAAGGCTTTTAACAGGGTTTGGCACGCAAGTCTGCTGTATAAGCTTCTTGCCTACGGCATCTCTACTGAATTTTGCAACTGGGTATGATTTTTTGAGTGAACGGTCGATCAAAGTAGTCATAGATAGCTGCTCTTCGGACCTAATGCATATTAATACCGGAGTTCCTCAGGGGTTATCTCTGAGACTCTTTACCTGCTGCACATCATTGACCTACTTCTACCAGGTATTGTTGGGTATGCAGATAACAGCACAGTCACAGAAAGATTTATATCCAGTGCAAAAGATGGAGGGACAGTAATGCGTTCATTTAGAGAGACCATGGTGGAGCGGATAAATGCCTTAAGTCTAGTCTCCAAATGGGGTAACTAAAATTTGGTATCTTTCAATACCGCCAAAACGTAGTAATGTCTGTTCTCCGCAAAATGGTACATCTTTACACTTACCGAGGTACGTCTGTAGAGGTTACTGATCATCCTGAGCTTTGTCGCTAACATTAAACGAAAGCACAAACTGCGGCCAAAAAACTGGGTATTCTAAACAAGGTGCAGCGATACTTCACGCCTGGTCAGCTTCTAACTTTATACAAAGCTCGAGTCCGAACATTGATGGAGTATTGTAGTCACCTTTGGGATGGCTCAGCAAAATATCAACTTGCCGTACTTGACTCAGTGGAACGCAGAGCCAAGAGGCTTATCGGCGACAAAGAGCTGGCGGAAAACAAGCTTCACAGCTTAGCTCACCGCCGCAAAGTTGCTCGTTTGTCTTCTACAGATTGTACTTCGGAGTGTGCCTATAAGCTTCATAAGCTCATACCGTCATCTCCATTCGCCTATCGAAGTACCAGACGTACTGCAGGTTACCTTTCGCACTAAGCGCTATAAATCATATTTTATAATACGCACAGCCAAGGAGTGGAATGCCCTGCCAGCGTCTGTTTTTGCGAGTACCTATAACCTGGACCTCTTCAAGATTCAAGGTGCGTGTTAACAGGCTTCTCCTGGGCAAACCCGCTCCATCGCAGACCTCACGTTTGCCCCTGGGCCATATGGAGGCCAAT